TCATTAAATATATCATTCATATATATATATATATATCATTGTATATACATTATCTGATATATATTAAGATATTGTGTGTTTCACCCATATTAGGTCCTTGTCAGCAGAAATTATCACTTATTTCACTGCTAAGTCCTCTGTACCAAACTAAGTTTGCTAAATGACTTGTTCGTTTTTTAATTATTTTTCAGGTACTAAACAGTTTATATCTGACCCAAAGCTTATGGATCATGGACAGTCCCATCCAGAAGATGTAGATATGTACAGCACTAGAAGCTGAAATAGACTGCAAAGAGAGACAGCATAGAGAACCGCAATATGTGTGAAGTTGTAAATGATGGTTTAAAAAAATCATGTACTGGGCAACTGATACTTAGACTGTGCCTTGAAGTGATTCCCCAACCTCTTCAAATGTACAGTCAAGTAAGTGATGAAAACATAAATTGTGAATGCAATCCAACAATATGAAAGGATTGATGAGACAGCAGAAGTAGAAATAGTATGATGTATTTGATGACTTGTAAGGGAATTTACTAAAAAACAAACGAGAATGAAGATGTGAACATCAATGAGACTAAAATCTGAAAATATGTATGTGCATCTATACATATGTATCTGCTTCGGGTTTCCAAATGTCAGTTGGATTAGAATTGTGTATAGAAGGATGGGTGTGTTCTCTGTTTTGTTGTTGTTGTTGTTTTCATTTCTCTGAGCTGCAATAAAATACCCATATTTTATGGCATGTGAGTTTGGCTTTTACTAATTTTGACTCCTCTTAAATATCGTAAAATGTTTGTATTTAAAAGAACTATATACTACATAGCTCCTGTAAGCCTTTTATACCTGTCAAAGTTCACTGGCCTTCCTACTTTATAGAGTAGAAAAATATAATTACTAGACATAACCATTGCCAAATACTTCTCATCTTCTAGACTTAGTGTTACATTTCCATTTCCTGAGTAGTGCCTCATAATATGCTCCTGATCTCATTCATTCCCATGTTTTTTTCTCAGAACTGTGTTTCATCTTGTTTACTGTCTTTGCTTTTTTCACTCATTTCTTTTCCTCAACTTCTAAATAGCTTCAGCTTTCCTATGTCCAAAAGCAACAATAGCAAGACAAAACTACCTCATCCTTCAAGGTGTCTTTTCTCCTATGGTTTCCTTATTTTATTTTATTATAAAGATGCTGTACAGAGGGGTTACAGTTACATGAGTAAGGTAATGAGTACATTTCTTGTTGAGCATTGTTAACCCCTCCTTTGTTCTCCCACTATCCCTTCTCTCCCCCACCTCCATCACTTCTCCCTCCCTGCCCCAAAGTTATAAGTTCATTTCCAACATAGTGTCTTGTGAGTCTCATTGTTGCAATGGGTCATTCTGTGTCCTTGTTTCAGCATTTTGTTACTCCTCTTCCCCTTCCCAAATATGTACATATGACCATATAAGATGATGCTAAGTGAAATGAACCCCAAGATATGGACATGAGGTCTTTTGCTGTTGTTGTTTTTAATGAACTATGTGATTTTTGTTTCCTTTGTATGTTCTTTCCCCTATGGTATATCCCCTGTTGTCACTATACTTGACACTATACCCTGCATCTTCCTATGGTTTCTATATATCTGTAAAAAGTAATTTCCCAGTCAGGCAGCAGTGACTCAGGCCTGTAATCCTACCTGCTTAGGAGGCTGAGATCTGAGGATTGCTGTTCAAAGCCAGTTCAGGCAGGAAAGTCTGTGAGGCTCATCTCCTAACCACCAGAATACCAGAAGTAACACTGTGGCTCAAAATGGTAGAGCCCTAGGCTTGAGCAAAAAGGCTCCGGGATAGCACTCAGGCTCTGAATTTAAGCCCCACAACTGACAAAAAAGTAATATCCCTCTCTTCTTTGCTTTCAATTTTTCTGTAATTTGCAACATCCTGGCTTACACATATAAATTTTTTAAGATAATTATTGACTCTCACTACCTCCTTGAAACTCACCCCTCCCTTTGCTTTCTGTTGTTTTGTCTTGTTATTCTTCATTCATCTTCTCTTGCTCTTGAAGCCCTTATATATGGAGGTTCCTCAACTTCAGTCCTTGTTTATTTTTCCTCATATATATACTCTGATGTTCATTCAATCAACTTTAATGTCACTACTAGTAATATTTTAACATCCACATTTCTCCAGTACTATAGACCAACTTAGATATCTAATTATTAGCTAAATCTACCTAATACCTTTTCACTATCCTAATATCAGTATGTCTAAAATTAAGTGATGTCAGCCTCCTTCTCATTTCTTTTTTCTTTTAATTTTTTAGTTTAAACAGTAAATATTTTTTAGTGACACTCTCCATCTGGTCTTCTCATTTCTTTTTTTTATTTTTCTTTCTTTTTTTGCCAGACTTTGGGGCTTAAACTCAGGAGCCTGTGCATTGTCACTGAGCCTCTTTGTGTTCAAAGCTAGTGCTCTACCACTTGAGCCCCAGCTCCACTTCTGGCCTTTGCTGAGTCATTTATTGGAGATAAGAGTCTCACAGACTTTCCTGCTCACACTGGCTTTGAACAGTGATCCTCAGATCTTGCTTTCCTGAATAGCTAGGATTACAGCCATGAGCCACCAGTGCCCGGCTTCATTTCTTATTTCTCAAATTATTTCTGCTTTCTCTAGTGCTCTTATACCTCTTGTTCAAGCATTCATTGACACATTCCTGGATTCACAGTCACTTCCTGGCTATTCTCACAACTAACATTTTTCTATCTTCCTTCAGAATGTGCTCTGTTTGCAAGTGAATCAGCTAAGAGTATCTTAAACAAAGATGGATTCAAAGCCTGGTGTTAGGTAAGAGAGGGTTTGTGCAGTGGTTCCTAGTGCCACCAAGAGTCTAGACTTTTCACATCCCACTCTAATGTCCATAGCATGCTGCATTCTCATCTGGTCACAAGATTGCTGCTGTATCTTACAAGAGCACCTACACATTGAAAGGGCAAAGCAGATGTGCAAATATATAAAATTATGAAAATGATGCTTCTGACTTTTTTTGACCTGCTTGCTACTGTTGAGATATCCTTCCAGCTTGTTGTTATGCTGTCCTACCTGAGATGGCAATTGTGCACCACCATGCCCTGCTTATTCTATTGAATGGGAATCACATGGACATTGTTGTCCAAACTGGTCTAGAACTATATCCTCTTGATCCCAAACTCCTCTATAGCTGGGATTACAGATGCACACTATTGCAACCCAGTTATTGGTTGAGAAGTGAGGGTCTCTTGAAAGTTTGGCCTCTACTGGCATCGAAATGCAGCCCTCAAGATCTCAGCCTGAAAGTGGGTAGTATTACAGATGTAAGTCACTGCATTTCTGACTTTTTTTCAGAAAAGTTACTGTTTTCTTCAGGCATGAGTAGCTTTATACTTGCAGTCCTAGCTATTCAGGAGTCTAAGATCTGAAGATCACAGTTTAAAACTAACTCAGACAAAAGATGAATAAATGCAGCAATAGTACTCACTAGACACTATGTTGAAAATGAATTTTACAACTTGTGGGTGGGGCTGGGAGGGGAAAAACTGGGAGAGAGCAAGGGAAGGAATGACATTGTCCAGAAAGAAATGCACTCATTACCTGACTGATGTAACTAACTTCTCTGTATATCACCTTTATAATAATAATAATAAAACAATTTTTAAAAACTAGCACAGGCGGAAAAATCTGTTCAGACACTTACCTCCAATTAACCAACAAAAGGCAGGAAATGGAGGTGTGGTTCAAATGGTAGTGACAGCCTTGAACAGAAAAGCTAAGGGAGTGTTTGCCTGGAGTTCAAGCCCAAGTACAGATGTGTGTGTGTGTGAGAGAGAGAGAGAGAGAGAGAGAGGTTTTCTTAAAATTGCTCAGAATTCTCTGTATATCTAAATCAGAATTCAGATGGCCACATACTTAGCTCAAGAGAGCTAAATCCATGCAAATCCATTGGTAAAAAAGGAAAGTACTAAGGGATTTGGACATGGATGTTGAGTTTGATCTAACATACAGTTTCTGCTACTTAAGTCTTCTAGCCTATCTGTCAAGACAATTATCTATCAATAATTAGCCATCTTTCTAAATTCTTCAGTAGCTCAGCATTGACTGTAGAGTCAAGTTCAAGCTCCTTAGCCAGACACAAGGCCCTTTTTGTCTGATCTAAGATTACTGTCTAATCTTATCTTCATTCTTACACAACCCACTGCCAAGGTATGTTATACTTTTGACATAGCATTTGCTTAGAAAACATGCATTCCTTGTTATGCCTCTTGTTCTCTGCCTCTGCTAAGGTTTCCTCTTAAAATTTTGTCTTGTATACCACAAAATAATTTCCTACCCATCCTTCAAATCCAATTCTAGTGTCAATTCTTAATTTTCCAAAGTAGAATTAGGTGTTCTATACCCCCTTGCATGTAGCATATATAGATGAAATTATCCACACAATTAGTATTTCTCAGAGTCATGTGGGTATAGCTGAAGCATACCCTTTGCCTGTGAAATGCATGTACATAGCAGGAATTCACATATTCTATGATACCAGTTGCAGCTAGATATAAAATACCAAAATAATTATATTTCTACAAGAGACTCACTATCTACTGGGAAGGAGAAAAACATACAACAGAGCTATATGTGGAATCTTTCCTATGTACATGCAAAAATCTTTACAATGTCTTTTTTTAATGTTTTAAAATGTGAAAAAAAATCAATGTCCTAAATTTGGTGAAATATAGATTAAAAAATTAGCCCAAAGACAAGTATAAGTGATTTTTGAATTACCTACAGCTGAGCTTATCCACATTTGTTACTAGCCATTAGAATATTCATTTGTATAATGGTTAATTAACTATCTGCAAAATGTGCTTCAGAATGAAATATCTACAAGATTATTATCATTACTTGCTGTATTTTACACTATTCAGCATCAGACTGCTGTTAGGTGACATTCAAACGTGGAAGCCTATGTTCAGATAAGATGTTGTACGGCTTCTTTCATTCTTCCCCTGCTATAGCCTGCAGATCTTCTCTGGTAAATCTGAACAGATGCCAGCCCTCAGCAAAGGAGAGGTCTACAGCTCCTCGATGAGTATAATAATCAACAGAATCTTGGTTTGAAAGGACAACGAGAAAGTGCATGTAGCCACACTGGGACCTAATGGCTATCTAGTAAAAACAAATAAGCAAAAATTACTTTTATTGGAAAGAAGTCTCCCTTAACATTTTAATGAAGAGATATTCTATGTAACAAATGATATATGCATAAGACTTGTAAGTAATATAATAATTAACTTTTGGTATACACTATAATTGTAAACAAAGAGAAGTCCCAGCTTTAAAACCTGTCTCTTTAAGATCCCCAAAGTGATTTGCAACATCATTATTCTACAGAAAATATGTACCTTTAAAATACATTTTTCTCATGTATTGCCAAAATAAAAGAAACCTTTTTTTATAACACTGTGATTCACATCATGGACCTATTTTATATATAAACTTGTAACCTCCTAGTGATATGGTTACAGACAAATTTTAGTTTAATATTGCTTATATAGTATTTGTGTGTCTGTTTTGAAAATCCAGTTTAATTTCAATAAAAAATTTTGAAATATATGTCAGATTTATGTTTAAATAGTGAAGTTAACTATACTGTGTTAAATAATAGTTGATGAAGAGAAGGATAATATGTAGACTATCAATAGTAATTATAATACTTACTTGACTTATTTTTCTTAGCATTTCAGTTCCAATTCCTAAATCTGTTAAATAGATAATCACAAATGAAAACTTTTAAGTTGAAAAGTACCACTAAATTTATTTGCTTTACTTCAAAGAAATAAAATGTTAAACTACTCTGTATCTGGTTGAGATATATATGTGTGTGTGTGTGTGTGTGTGTGTGTGTGTGTGTGTGTGTGTGTGTATATAAATTTAATTCATGAATGCATTTCATATTGTTTTCCTATCAGTACATAGTACAAATGATAATACAAAAGAATTTAGGTTTATTTTTACAATTAGTGAAGAATTGAGTCACTAATGGTCTATGACAGGTTATATATTTCTTGTCTATCTATAATAAACATATTAAAATGTTAAATCACATTCCCAAGATAAAAGTATACCTGTCAAAGCATGATTTAATCAAAAGTTGATGAAAACTAAGAATATTTTTCTCATCTGTGATCTGAGTCCTTCCTACACTAGGATAGTGATCGGGGTCATGAAAAATAATTGAATTACATAAATAACAGCGTATTTACACTAAAGTCCTATATCTCCCCTCATTACAATAGGCTTTTTTAAATTTTAAAGTATTCATAAGGAATATTGTTATCGCAGTTTTACCTTGGTAACCATGGATGACATAAAAATCTTCAAGATAAAGGACCTTGCCTATCCACAAATCATAGGTGAAGTAGTACATGGCAAATCCAACTATTTCTTTTGCTAGGAAAAGGGAAAAGGGACACAATTATATTTTTATTTAACACACTTATAGAGGGGTTTAATTATGTTTTCATACAGTAAATATTAAACATTCACCTCCTCCGCCATATTCTCATTCCCACCTCCCCTTTCCCACTTTGTAAAGTAGTATTTGAGGGTTCATTATACTATATTCATACATATGTGTATATATATTTATATATACACAAATATATACCGATACATTAATATATTAATTTTATAATATTTATAAAATATGCACACATTCATATTAATACATTAATGGCATATAATAATATATTCTTAATTATATATAATATATTAAACAAATCTATATTTAAATATAAATATATGTATATATTATGTTAATGCAATATATTAATATATAATGTATTAATATATATTAGATAGTAATATATGTATTCTATTAAATAATTATTGTATTATATATTATACATGAATATATTATAATATATAAAAATATAATTATTATATTATATTCTCATATATAATATTCAGCATATATTACATATAATATATAATTATGGATTATACATTAATATATTAATACAAGTAAATGTGTAAGTATAAATACACATATATATTTATAATACATCCTTTGATCATCTTGAAATGTTCCCTTCTTTTTCCCCCTTTTCCATGGCTACACCTTCCTAGTTAACCTTTACCTCATAATACATTATCTTTGGTTTTTGCTTTAGCTATTAATGTTTACTGAAAAAATTATCAGTATGTAAATATATAATATAGAAGGTTTCATCCTCTTTATGCTGCCTTCTAAAGGATAAGCACTCTTACAGTTTGATGTAAGTTATTCCATGTTTTATTGTTCATATAAGCCTAAGTATATACCACTCATTTTCTTAAAAATAAAGGACTGGGTTTGTACATACATACTCCTCTTTTTAACTAGTATTTTTATTAACTATAAATACACTTTGTTTTGAAGATATAGAAAGAATACTCCAGACTATATTGGAAAAAGGAAGTTTAGTTTACCTGATTTTTTTTGTTGTTGGAAAACTTCAGCAACCAGGCAGTAAAAAAGAGGATTGACCCCAAAGCCATCCCTGAGTAAATCTAGAATATCAATTCACAAACAATGCATCAGAAATTTATAACGAGAGAGGGAAGATGTCAAATTAGGAAGCACCAAGAATTCCTCTCTCCACTTGGACAGAAAACTGACAAAAACTGTCCAAATGGAATACTTTCGAACTGTAGAGGCGTTTATTTGAGCACTTGAATATTCAGGTGATTGTCTTATAAATTCTAGTTAATTTAGGTCAAATTCAGCCAAAGTGTGGTACCAGCTACATACATACCTCCTGTCCTACTGAAGGTTGTTGTGAGGTTGACAGTCTGTATTTCTGGAGCTGTTTTCTGGAGAAAGGGTGGACCATAAAGTTAATGTCCTCAAAATCATGGAGTTTATGGGTTGGTTTGTTGTCCTGGTGCTGAGGCTTGAACTCAGGGATTATTTGTCCCTGAGCTTTTTTGTTCACAGCTAGCACTCTACCTCTTGAGCCACAGCTTCATTTCCAACCTTTTCATGGTTGAGATACTCTCACAGACTTTCCTGCCTGGGAGGCACAGATCTCAGCCTCCTGAGAAGCTGGATTACAGCTGTGAGCCACCAGTGCCCAGCTGGGTTTTACATTTTAACTATACAGTGCCACTGTGATCACTGGCACAAAGGCTTAGAAGTTGGTTACTACATTATTCCAAACTGCCAGATAATATAGCTTCTAGAAATATATAAGGTAGCTCAACATAGGGTTTTTTTGGACAGTCAAAACAAAACCATAAATAAAAGGAAGGTTTAGAAAACCACTGCAATTGACTAGAGAAAGACACTGACTCAGAAAAAAACCTAAGAACACAGTAAACTCAGGCTGATTTTTGACAATAAGCCTCTGCAAAAATTGAAGATTATAAATCCTGAGAGTCAAAATGTTCCAACACAAAATCAACAAAACATGCAAAAAAGCAGTAAATGAAAGAAACAGGAAACAAGAATACACTGTAAGGCAAATAGAAAACTGGCAGATGTGTATGGTCTCATGAGTAATTAAATGTGAAAAGATTGAACATTCATTTCAAAATACAAAGATTAGCAGCATGGATAAAAAATTTTAAGAAGCATCAGAAACTACATATTTTGTCTAAGAAGAACACTATAGAGTCACTGAAAAAAATAGGTTGGAATGGAATGATGGAAAGAAGTTGATTTTATACAAATAAAAACCTAAAGAGCTTGAGTGGCTATTATAATACCAAGAAAAACAGACTTTAAGCCAAAATTCATTATGAATCAAGGACATTATGTGCTTACAAAGGAGTCAATTCACCAGAAAAATACAGAAATTATAAACATATATACAGTAAACATCACAACATCAAAATACATGAAGCAAACATTGATTGAACTAAATGGAGAAAAGTAGATCACTATTATAGCACAATTGAATGAGACTTTTAATACCCCACTTTCAATAGCATAGAACAACAAAACAAAATTAAGCAACAGATAGCATGAACAAAACTGTGGAATAATTGGACCTAGCAAACATACACAAAATATTCTACCTGAAAACAAAAAATGAATACACATTTTTCTCAATTGTATATGGAACTTTCTCCAGAATTAGGACATATTTTAGGCTACATACCTAGTCTTGATAAATTGGAAAAGATTGAAATTGCACAATATCTCTTCTAATGAGGATGGATGAATCTTACTAAGTGGCTTGAGGAAAGAACTCTACCCAATTCCATATTTTGGCAGTAAATCCCTCCACTCTCATGCAAGTAGGTTAAAATGCTGACCAAATTTTCTATCATCTCCTTCGCTGATCCAGTGGGTTACAAGTACACAAGATCAGAAGGAAAATCAGTGGCAGAGGAGACTGCCACAAACATATCCCTAAGTGGCTGTCGTGAATCAATACTCCTATCACCATGTGGAGCATGCTGGGAAGAAAACATTGGAACTTTTCTGTAATTTGGTGGACTTTACTTCAGGGAGAACAAACCTAGGATGTAGGGGACCCGGCCTCATGTGGAAAACCTATTGATTGAGTAAAGTATCCCACAAGGGAATAAATGGAGCCACCTAGGGCAGTTCTTCCTCTTCTCTATCACAACAAAAGAGACCCTAAGACAAAAACCAACATTAAGGACTTTTTCTTACACCTAGGGCACTGCTAGAACACCTGGGAAAAATATACATTTCAAGAGTCAGAGTGGATATTCTACTGGGAACCTTACCTAATGCTTTGCTTTAGTACCATGTCTATCAGGTTGTTGGTATTTAGTGGCTGTCTATTAATAGGACCCTGTCCACCCGGTCCATGGGAAGTCCTATTGTACTCAGTGATTCCTTGATGTATCATATACAGACAAAACAAGGAATCATGTTATCTAGGAAGATGGTAAAATTGTCACAGGTAAACTTTCTGGGTGTCTCTGACCAAAGAGATTCAGGGTCCCAGCGCATACCTCACCTCAAGAAATCCACACCAATTAAACTTTAAACAGATACTCATTCTAATACAAAAGAATTCACAAAACAGAAATGTAAGAACAGAAAACAGTGAAGATTTCAGTAGAGCTGAGCAGCTGCTGCCACAGGCCTGCTGCACAGGGAGATTGAGAGCAACACACCTGAATCTCCACCAAACAAACTTCAGAGGCTCACCCTACTTAATACTGAAGAAATCAGAAGAAACAAGAAAGATGGCACCAAAACAGTAGGGAATTACCGTAGCTCTCTAACCAAACAGTGTCTCAACACACAATTCCCCCAAGAGATCGACAACAAACAAACAAGCAGAAAATCACAGGAACTGAAAAAGTTATAATTTACAAACACAAGTATGAAAAAAATCATGAAAGCCCCTCAACCACCCCAAGCCAGCAGTGTGGATAAGGGGCAAAAGTGGCACCCGCTGCCAGGGACTCCAGAACACCAACAGACTGCAGAACTCAGAAGCAGAAAACTCCCACAGAGCTGGACATGCACAGAACAGACAGAGATTGAGACCAGAGGTGAGCCACCATGACATCAGACCTGGAGAGCTCCCACAGTGGCCTAGCACAACAGAGTGTAGTGCCCTGGCAACTGGTGAGCTGCAGCACACAAAAACAAACTTCTGCCACAGCACAGCCAGTCAGCCACAGCATTGCCAGTCAGCCCACAGCCAGTACCAGGACCACTGAGTCTCTTGCCAAGGATGCCCCCCCCACACACAAATGAGACCAGCACTGGCAATGACCCACAGAGTTTGACCCGGACCCCTCAATCTCCTTCTCAAGAAGGAACACCACACTTGAAGAGGACAAACAGACCAGAGACCTGCTTCAACCCCTACTCCACCAGTTGGCTTCCAATGGAAGGCCACAGGGAGTCATACTTGGCAGGCACTAGGATGCTGCATCTTCCATAGCCCAGCCTATCAGGAGAGTGAGCTGGTCGGGAATGATGAGGGGGAATAATTTCATAATAGGGGCATGGAAAACTTATTCAGTAAGATAATTACAGAAAATTTCTCCAGTCTTAAGAGAGAAAATCTCACCCTTACAACAGAAGCATATAGAAAACCCAGTAGACAGGACCCTAGAAGAAACACTTCTAGACACAACTTAGTAAAACATTAGACTTGAAGAGCAAGAAATTGATTTTAAATGCTGAAAAATCAATGAAGGAACAATATTACAAGAGAAAGAAACTCAGAATCACTGCAGAGCTCTCCACACAAACCCTCAATGCAAAGAGAGCCTGGAATGGTATTATTCAAACCCTGAAGGTCAACAACTGCTATCCCAAACTAGTATACCCAGCACAGCTATCATTTACATTTGACAGTGAAATTAAAACCTTCATGACAAACAAAAACTAAATGAATTCATGAACACTAAATGAGCACTAAAAAGAACACTAAAAGAAGAATACAATCGGAAGAAAACAATCAAAATCAAGGAAACATATCAGACAAAATCATTAGAAGACTAGTAATCGCAGGACTAGGAAAAAAGCAAAATACAGGAAAACAAGAAAATGTCAGGAAACAACACATCTTTCTATAATAATCGTAATCATTAAAGGAATCAGTTCCACAATCTAAAGAACTGTGGATTAGAACAAAAAATAAGATCTATCCATTTGTTGTCACCAAGAGACTCATCTCAAAAATTCCCGAAGTGAACTAGGAAGACATAAATGAACTAAATAAACCAATATCATAAAACGAGATAGAGGAAGTAATCAAAAGTCTTTCAGCAAGGAAAGGCCTAGACCCAAATGTATTCACTGCAGAATTGTATAAAACTTTTCAGTGAAATAGAAGCAGAGGGAGAAAGCTATGAAGCCATTATCACACTCATCCCAAAACTAGGCAAGGATCCAACAAAAAAAAGAGAACTACAAACCAATTTCTCTGATGAACAAAGATGCAAAGTTCCTCAATAAAATATTAGCCAACAGAATCCAGAAACACATAAAAAATCATACATTATACCAAGTAGGCTTCAGCCCACAGTTGCAAGACAGGTTTAACATATGCAAGTCAATAAATGTAATTCATCACATCAACAGAGACAAGGTCAAGAACCACATGATCATCTCATTAGATGCAGAAAAGGCATTTGACAAAATACAACATCCATCATGTTAAAAGCTCTAGAGAAAATAGGAATAGGTGGAACATTCTTTAAAATAATTAAAGCCATATGTGACAGCCCAACAGCCAATATACTAAATGGGGAAAAGCAAAAACATTTCCCCCAAAATCAAGAATAAGGCAAAGATGCCCACTCTCTGTACTCTTCAATATAGTTCTGGAATTCTTAGCCAGAGAAATAAGGCAAGAAACAGACACTACAGGGATCCACATAGGGAAAGAAGAAATTGAACGATCCCAATTTTTTGGGGTGTCCGGTCGTGGGGCCTGAACTCTGAGCCTGGGCCCTGTCCCTCAGCTCTTCAGCTCAAGGCTAGTGCTCTACCACTTGAGCCACAGCGCCACTTCTGGCTTTTTTCTTTTTGCAAATGTGGTGCTGAGGAATTGAACCCAGGGCCT